TTCTAAGCTAAGATACAAGCTGTATTTATAAGTATTTGATAATTATAAAATGATCATTTGGAATGATCATTCGGAGCATTTGGAATGATTATTTGTAAAGATCATTTGCAATGATCATTCAGAGCGCTTGAGATGATCGATTGGAATGATCATTTGAAATGATTATTCGAAGTGATCATGTAAAACGATCATGTGAGATGATTATGTGAAGCGATCATGTAAGATAATCGTTTGTGATTATGAAAATATCTAATTACAACAGTATTAACAAGATAAAAGATAATATGATGATAAGTAAAAACAACAAAAGTAAAAACAAAGATAAAACAAAAGAAAATAAAAGAAAAACAAAAGAAAAATAAAATACAAACAAACAAAAAAATAAAATGAACAAAAGAAACAAACAAAAAAAGTGAAAAAGACAAGAACAAAGTTAAAACCAGAATATAATCTTCTTAGTTTATTTCAAGTCAATTCTCATATTACATATATAGTGAATTTGAGTTATGCTGATCTACATGTTATTTACATATATAGATTACAAAGTAAAATTAATAAAAGTAAAGATTTACAACATGTTGGAACACAATAACTATTGTGTAATATTAAAAAGGGGTTTGTATAAAATCTATGTGTCGCTAATTAAATTAATGTAATAAGAGACAAAAATAAAGTACCAATAAGATTTAAATATAAAATGATGTGATAATAGTATGAATTGATTGATAAATTAAATGATGATAAAATCTAAATAAAAATGATGCGATAATAATATAAAATAATTGGATAAGAAAGTAAATTATTGCTATTGGATAAAAATATAAGAAATATAGAAAAGTAAAAATAAAAGAAAAAGTTTTAAATGAATATTACTGCGCTAAAAATATAACGTGATATAGTTGATAAAAGGTAGAATGGTAACAATATTTGAAGGTTGAGTAATAATAATTTGTATAAATATAACATATATTTTAGCTTAGAAAAATAATCTTTTGGATAATAATTTTTCTAATTAGAATCTTCTTACACTTTGAATCTTTTGAGATTAATAATTTTTTTTAGATTTAATCTTCTTATCTTTTAATTTCCTTTGACAAAATCTTCTTGGAAGTGAGTTGTATTATAAGTCTTGAATTGAAGATTTTTAGTCAAGTATTAATTATTCTTTTTCTTTCTTATTTGTATTCTTTATTATTTAAAAAAGATCTCTCATCTGTAACAAGCAACGTCATCTATAATAACATAATTAACCTCTCGTTACTACCCCATGAAGTTGATTAATATTATTTAGATTTATAATAAAAGAAGAAAATAATTTTAATAAAAGTTAATCAATAAAAGAAGATTACTTAATAATTAAATTACTTGAATCAAAAGAAGATTTCTGAACTTATTCTAGCAATTCAATAAAACAAATACATCATTATCTATCTTTATTAAATTAGTCTCTCCCAACCTTAATTACTTTAAACACATAAAAATCTTCAATAACTCTCCTACTTAATTGAGATACGTGAAGAACACATGATCTATATTTGAAAGTTAATAAACCAACAGAAATGGTAACAATATATAAAATGGTAACAATGCTAATAATTAAATATAATAGACATAACAGAATCGATTGAATAAAACATGTGATCGATCAGGTCGATTTTTGCAATATTAGTATGTATCACGTGATTTACCGGTTCCGGATAGGGATCGGAGATCACGGGACCTGAACTTTCGGTGGTCGCGAAATCCAACATACGCATAAACACGTGACTCTTCTTATTAACTGAACCTCCAAATCAGCTGTATCTGGCACTTCTCTAACTCTTCTAAAATTTTCATAAAAATGTCTACAGAAACTTCCACCCAAACTGCTGCTGCTCCCTCCAATACTGAAACGACTCAACAAAAATCACGTCCTTCAGCACGCACACGTCAAGACACAATAATTGCTGACCAAATTCTCACAACTGATCAAGACGCTCAGTCTCATTCGCAACTTTCTCGCGTCATTGTTATTGCTATTGACCACTCTAGTCATAGTCAACATGCATTCGATTGGGCGTTTAAAAACCTATTGCGAAAAGAAACCGATTTGGTATATATTTTTGGATTAATTGTGAATTAGCACATACTCGTGATATCAAATTAATTGACTTTTAATATATATATAATATAAATATAAAGACTATATTGGTCAATATCAGACCAATTCCTTCAATTCCTGGTCCATACAGTAAGTTTCAGATTATGACGACGATGAGTAATTTCCGAATACGCTTATAAAGGGATTCGTATTATCGCTATTTTTCATCATAAGAACACAGAAACTAAAAATCTCGTTTTCCAAACTTTATTCAGCTATAGGCGCGACTTATATAGATTTTAGCGAAATGATATCAAGTGTCGAGGAACAAGTATATATTTGTTTGTTCTTGGAAAATATGTATATATATCATTCACTTCTATTTTCTATTAGCAACGTGCAATCAGCCATCAACTTTTGCAGGAGTTTGCTTTGAAATTGAAAAATCAGAACGTGAGTTTGTTTCGATCTAATCTATATGATATCATGTTATTAATGGGAAACACGATTGTTTCAGTTTGCTTGCAAAGCAATCGCGATGCGAGGTGACGCACGCGACGAGATTGTCCGAAAGGTGGATGAAGTCAACGCGGATGCTTTAGTAATAGGATCTCGTGGATTAGGTGCATTGAGAAGGTAAATACTTGTGCTTGCACGATATTTTTCTTGTTTATCGTGATATTATTTTTTTCTTCTTTAGGACCATTTTGGGATCCGTGAGTGATTATTGCAGCCACGCTTGTCATTGCACTGTTATTATCGTCAAAGAACGTGAACATCACGAATAATATCAATATTGTTAAGCGACTATCGCATTATATATACACAAATAGTATTATAGTATTGTTAGGTAGTTTGCGCAAGACTTCTACCAACATTAACATATATTATTCGCTGCTATGTAATTAGCAACAAACAAATTTTGCTCTTTTTTTCTATAATCGTCGTTATAAAATCCAGAGCGACACAATTCCTGTTATTGCTAAGCGTCTCAGCAAACACAAAAAAGGCTCTCAGATCCGCCAATTAAAAAAAGACACTATTCTTTAGTTATAAAATTTGATTATATTTTTAAGATAATATTAGTACAGAGAAAAAAAAGAAAGAAAGCAATATAACAACATTTTTGTGATTTGTTGTGTATAATGATGATAATTGATGTATGTAAAAAGATAAAATTCCCCGTGAAAAACCCCCACACTCTTAGAAAAAATCCTATGTAATAAAAATCTATTATCGTTATAGAAAAAGGAAAGAAATAAAAACAGTCGATCCCTACCTATACTATATAATAAAAGTATAACGGAACAAAAAGAAAGAATATTAATATTGAATGATATGTATATGTGTATATATATTGAAAAAGAAATATGCGTATGTAAAATGATGAATTGATTAATTATAAAGTCCGTAAAATTATACTTTTTGCTTCGTTTTTTGAATGTGAGATTTTTGTGTTCGGAGATAGAAATGAGATAGATGCCGTTTTGATTATATAAAATCATAATAGTAGGGAAGATACAAGACTTGAACACACAAAGATGATTGTGAATGGATGAATCGTAAAACTGGTGAGAAAGCAGTGTTGGTTGCGGATGATTGCGGATGATTGGTTGGTAAGACATAAAGGAACATAGAATTCAAGTTTCTGTCATTATTCATTGTGATGCATTTTGTCATCAAAAGGCCACCTTTTTTGATAATGTTCATTATAGTTGCGGCATTATGACATTGCTGGTAGTGGCTAGATGGATGACGCATGTGTACATGTATGAGCAACAAAGAGACAAGAGTAGAATCAAAAAAAAAACAATGATTTGGATTGTTACGACGACTGGCACGACACGGATGTTTGCTTGCTTGCATGATGGATTAAATTGCTTGCGTTAATTTCTTTTTTCAAGTACATATCAGAAATTGTGTGTTCTTGAAGTCGCAAGTGTCCCAAGCAGTCGAGCGTTCCTTTAATGCGATCAAGTAGTAAAACAAGACCGCTAACCCTATTGCCCAAATCCAAAGTTCTTGGCTCTGTGTGTGTATGTGTGATTGATTAAAGAGAGTATGATGTATATGTGAATTTTTGGGGATTAGATAGCAAGAGTGAGGATGATGATGATGATGATGATGATGATGATGATGATGATGAATGATGATGAATGATGATGAATGATAATAATGAAGATAAGTGAGGAGGAAGGGATTGAAAAATATATAAATAGATTATATGGGTTAATGATTTATCATGTTGTTGTTTAGGTTTCTTTTAAATTTTTGCTTTTCTTTCTTTTGTTTTATAAAAAATATAGAAAATAAAAAATTGAAAAAAAAATAATATATATATATATGAAAAGCGTGATTTTTGAAGGATAAAGTAAAAGATTCGGGAATTTTTAAATAAAAAAAACATTCTATAGTAAAAAAAAAAAATCAAAAAGGAGGAACAACATACAAAAGACTCATACGAGCAAACGAATAATGAATAATTGTTGAACAAATAAATAACAAATAATAAATAAATAAAATATGTGTGCAACTTATTGCATAAAAAAAGTTCAAATAATGATAAAAGAAATAATGATAATTATTATGATTCAATAATAACAATAATAATGAACAAGGGGTTTGTTTCCTCTCTTAACCATCCGTTACTATTTTAATTCATCTAAAACCCGTTATCTACGCCCAGACTAATAAAAATGCAAAAAACCCCTCGATCGATAAAGAAGACAGAAAAATCCAAAAACCTTTTTATACACCCTTTTCATCGATTACTGTACATTTTTTAATAATTCCCGTAAACAAATAAATATAGAAGTGGAAGAAAAATCTAATCCCTAATTAATAAATAAGTTAAATAAAAATTCCCACCCTCACTCTTTCCCTTTTTTTCACATCCATTTTTTACTTGAATTTTCTCGGTCTGGATATTTCGATTGAAGGACCCAAACGCGATCTAGTATGACTTAATCTACTGTTGTCACCACCCTCATCATTATTATTGTTACTATTGTTACTATTGTTACTAGTCCTACTATTATTACTACTCTTAATATTATTATTGTTAGTATTATTGTCTGGTCTACTCACTTTACGGGTGTACATGTGTTTCAACGCCAAGGGACCGCCGTTTTTTTCTCCCTCGATTCGGAGTCCTGGTCCCTTCGGAGTGATGCGGAGGTTCGCCTCATAAATACCGGGACCAAAAGCGGTTTCACTGCCGTCTGGGTCTGTTTCGTCAAGTCTGACAAAAGACTGGGCTTTGGGGATAAACTTTTGTTCCAAGTTAGCGTGTTCTGTGTTGGCAGAATGAATTGGAGAGTGACATCACTGTTATCTATATATATCGATATAATTGTGTATGATAAACAAACACAGGAAATGAGAGAGAAAATCATTTCAAAATCGATTTCGTCTTTTTTTGGAAATGATTTTTGGCATTTTCTGTTGATTGGGGGGGGGGGGGTGCTAATCTAAATCTATCTATTCTATATATACTATTCTATTCTAATAAAATAAAATAAGAAATTATACATACCAACAAGGAATCTTAATTATTTCCAAAAAGTTAAGGATAATAATAAATTGAGAAAAAAGGGAAAATTAAAAATTCTATTAGCATGATCTTCTTATTCAAATGCAATAGAATGAATAATAAATACATACTTTGATAATTCAGCCCATCCACCACCGACTCGAACCATTACCATTCGACTTCTAAGAATTCGGCAATAGCAAAGTTTTGGTTCAACTTCACCGAATAAATATTTTCCTTCTTCTCCTTCAACCAATGTGACTTTTATCTTCACAGGACAAGTGTTTACTATTCGAGCAACTTCGACATCAAGCGGATCATCTGATTTCGGTATATAATTATTGACAGTATGTGGTAATAAACGAATTGGAGGACGGCGGGTTCCGGATGTTGGACTTGGTGATTGCCTTGTCGGACTTGATATCCGTGGATTTCGTGTACCATTACGAGCAGGTTGGGGATTTGTATATGACGTTATACGAGATGATCTCGGCGATGGTGATCGATTGTTTCGAAGTGATGAGTTTGAATTTTTTGGTGTAATTGAATTCCTTACACGTGTTACTGGTGAGTATGGTCGAATAGTTGGTATTGATCCTGATCGATCTCGGTTCTTTCGTCCTGACAGTAAACGCTGAAGTTCTTCTTTTCTTGCCTTTGCCTCTGCATCCAATTCTTTCCATTGTTCACTTAGATTACTTAACCGCTCTTCAACTCTCCAGTCATCTTTGAATGGTTCAGATGCACGTTTAGTATCTTTGAATTTTTCTTCTATCCGTGGACGATAATAATTGTATTTTGTATCGAGTTCTATTTTTCGCGATTGAAGTTCAACCATTTGTAGTGATGATAATGGCGCATTATCGTCAACAACATCTAATAAAGAGCTCATAAGTGCATTCATTTCATCAGCTTTAGTACCAAAGAATGCAAGTTTTTGAGCTTTACGAAGTTGATTCTTCTTATTTTCGATTGCACTTGCAAGATTGGTTAAAGATTCGGCAATTCCTGCTCGTTGTTGTATGAAATTTGCCCCACCATCTGTTAAGTTGCTAATCATTACATCCAATCCATCGATTCTAGGTTGAAGAATATGGTCAATTTCAGCTTGAATTGAACCGAGTTCCCGTTCTCCCGACTCGACATCATCTCTCGTTGGTATCTGAATAGAATCCCCACCAGTAATATATGATTCAATGTTGAATACTCGTTCTCTAACCTGTCCAATTGCCATTAAAATGTCCTTGATGGTACGTGAGACTTCTTGATTTTCTCGTGAGGCGTTAAGACTAGATCGTACAGATGTCATCATAGCTTTGAGTCCATTCCAATCATCCAATACACGGTTTGTTCGTTGTTGACTTGCTTCTTTGATTCTAGAATTGTCCTCTTTATATGGCGTATCATCAATATGTTTTAATAAATTATTGCTCAGATTTTGGAATTTATCAACAGTGTGCTGGAAGTCGGCAATTTTTTCCTCTAAATCGGCAATTTCAACCTCTTGATCAGTAACATCTACTTGAATATTTAATACTGCCATCTTACATCCTTGTATCCATGATTTGATATCTTGTGCGGTTTTTGCATGTGCAAAAACTTTTCTGACAAGTTCAAGTTCGCTACGTTCGCGTGAAACAGCTTCAGAGAATTGACTTAATGCCTCGGTCAATTTGGTGAAAATGTTCAAGATTCGATCCTTATTTACAGCGGGATTAAGTTCAATGAGTTGATCAGCCTCTCGTTTGAGTTGATTGTTGATTTTGTCGTCGTATTTAGATAGTTTTTCATCCGCATCATCATAACCTTCAATTGAATATTTTAATACTCTTTCCAAGTCTTCAGCTTCGAGCGCATAAAAGCCTTTGTTTTGTAAGTCTTCATGACGTGTTTGTATAGTGTCTGATTCTTCTTGACAAGCAGCAATAATACGATTAACTTCAGCATGAAAAGCTGCCAAAGCTGAAGCATTATGAGCAGCTTTAAGCGCAACTTGGAAAGAGGTTGAAAGAGTATTTAGTCGTTTTAATGCGTCAGCATGATGTTCATCGAAATTGTGACGATTGGTTTGATCGACTATGTCTCCTGGCTTATCAACGATTTGAGTGGCTGCGTTTTTGACTTCATCGAGTGCGACATTAGCATTCTTAATAAGACCATCCAATTCATTGACTTCTGTTGCGAGATTTTCATAATTGATGCTAGCCAACTTATTTATTCTGTCGGGTAATCCGTCCAATATTTCACTTTCAACATGATAAATGGTTTCATGACGATTGTACCATTGTTCTACTTTGTCGACGAATCCTTTCATTTCACTGGTCGCGTTGTCAAGGTATTCCCAAGCAGCATCTAATTGAGAATGTAACGCCATGATTTCATCGAGTTCTCGAATACCTTCTTGTGATGCAATGTCGTTAAACTCGGCGCGAATACTTTCCAATTGAAGAAATCGTTCTGGGACTTCCCCTTTGAATTCTTCAAAAACTGAGCTCAAGATACCCCAATTGTTTTTATTTTGCTCTTCAAGATTACCAACCATAATCCCGTATCTAAGTGAATCTTGGAATTTTGCAACTGAATCATTTATCCATTGCTGTAAATCTCGGGCACGATCCATGTACGCGCTAGCAATCTGTGATGATCGATATGCTTCGGCCTCATCAATCTTTTGGCTCAATAATTTTTTCAATGCGCTAATTGCATCATTGACTTCTTGCAACCTGTCCTCAAGTATCTTGGATTCTTTATCTGAGATCGCGCTGGGATTTTCTTTCAGGTTTTCTTGTACATTGTCAAATATTTTGATCAAGGAGAAGAGATCATTTTGCTCCAATGAATTCAACTCGATTTGCCAATCTTTGAGATGAGGAGATATTTGCTCAGGTGGAGTGTTTAATATGACATTAGATAGTTCATTGATTTTGGCAAAAGTTTCATCCGCTTTTTGTTTGAATTCAACAACTTGCAATCCTTGATCGAGAATTTGTTTTGCTACTGGAACTGTCGAACCCAACGCATCCCATAATTGGTCAATTTCTTCCTGTTTCTTACGCACCAATGCTAAATCATTTTTGATATCTTCAACGTCATCGCCGCCTTGTTCAACTTCTAATGCCATCTCTTCGATCATGCTAGTAGCTAGACTTTTAGCAAATTCAAAAGCGCTATGATAAGCAGTGCGAGCTGCGTCAACACCATCAACTTCGCCAATAAGTTCACGAAGATGATCTTCTGTTTGTTCCCCGAGATTCTGATCATTTGCCACGTTTTGCACAATGTCTAATTTCGGTTGAATCCAAGCTGCAATATCGTCCGCTTGATGTAAATAAGACTCTAACATCTTCTTGCGTCGCAATACATTTTGATGAGTATTCAATAAATCATTGAGACTATTTGATAATGATTTTAACGATTCATTCTGAGCATTAACTGCTTCACGAATTACGGAATTGCTATCATCCGTGCGACTCATGCGATCTTCCTCATTTTGAACCGGACAAGTTGGATATACGATTTTACTGGAAAGGTCGTCCCAAAGTTCTTGAACCCTATTTGCAAAGTTTTCGACTACCGTTGACACAGTGTTTCCTTCGCCTCCGGGTGAACTTGGATGATTCATCAAGAGGATCTGAGAAGAAAACAATTATAAAAATTACATTTTCCATTATAATCAATAATAATAAGATAAAAAAAGTATAAAATACTGAACCTGTTGGATTTGACGTGCTTCGTTTTCAAGTTGTGCACCATCTTTCATGTATTGATCAACTGTTACACGTTGTTGAATAACATCTCTTGCAAAATTGTCAAGAACTTTTAATCCATCGACCAGATCGTTGAGAGTCTTATGCAATGATTGAACGTGTTCTGGGACTTGCTTTTCGGACGCTTCCAGATTCGATTTATAATTATTGAATTTCTCATTGACTGGATGTAAAGTATTTTCATCAAAGTTGGCCAAATTTTCTTTGATAGTATCAAGTTCGGCAAGAAGCTTTTCGCGAGTTTCTTTTGAGTTAATAACATTGTCTTCTGAATTTTGATTGGATTCCCAGTTGGCTTTGGTGAATATGAATTTGTCGAGTTCACTTTCAATGTCTTTGGCTTCTTTTAATCCTTTTGCGAGATTTCCAGATAAATCCATGGTGTCTTGATAGGATTTTAGCAAATCGTCCAACTCTTTAGATAAAGCATCGAGCAAGGCAAGTTGATCATCGATAGCCTAGAGCATCATTACAAAAATTCAGTTAATATAAATTAGACCGTTGGAAAAATTTAAAAATAATTAAAAGAACCTGTTTAATCGAGACATTCAGATCTTCGGAAGTTAACGGATCGTTAGGATGGACAATTTTTTCTGCATGATTTGTTTTTAGATCATCTAGATTATTTTTGAATGTTGCTAATTTATCTGAAAATCCGGAATCTGATTCGCCGTTTTCCTCAGCAGAGTCAATTTTCGATTTAAGCGATTCGCCTTCTTTTTGTACGATATCTGCTTGTTTCATGAAAGCATCAACTGAATCGCGCTGTGCCAGAACCTGTTTAGCGAAATTCATTCGGGACAATAGATCAGTGAATTTTTGATTTAGTGCGATTTGACGCGCTGTTATATGTTCTGGGGTTTCTTTTGAGAGGAATTTGTTTATTGAGGTTTCTAATTCATTGAATTTAGCTTTTGTTGAAGTGAGTGGCTGTTCTTCGAATTCCTTTACTTGTTTTTCCAAGTCTGCAAATATTTTATTGAGATCGATTTCGGAGCTTCGAGTTTCAAGTGACCACCGAGCTTGATCTTCTATAAAAGTATTTACATTTCTATCAAGTTCATCAAGTGTATTGCTGGTAGATGCAAATTTTTCCTCCCATCTAGCACGATTTTCGAGTACGGACAACTCCAATTGTCGTGATGAAGAAATTGCTTGTAAATCTGAAAAGTTCTTATTCAGATTTTCCAATGCTTGTGCGAGTGGAGATTGATCAACGCTTTTACAATCAGCTTTGGTAATATCTTGAAGTAAAGTTTCAAGTTCACGTCGAAGTTCACTGATATCTTCGACATCAGCTCTAGCATTTTCTTCGAGGAATTCTTCGTGTTCTTGCTGCATTTTTTGAACTTCTGATTCTTTCCACGTACATTCCACGACCAAAGGATCAACTTGACGATCATTCAATATTTGTAAGCGACCTGCTATCCAATCTTGAATTCGTGCAGAATCCAAAAGACATTTATTTGCGCGTTGTTGAAGTGCAAGAGATGTTTGATATTTTTCATGAAGTTCATCAAGTGAGCCTCCCAATTCTTTCAATAAGGCATAACGATTATCTACAGCTTCTTTGACAACGGAGTTTTCCGTGTGATCAACTTCATTCATGATCTCGCTGATTGGGAAAGGAACTTTTGATCCGGTATTTTCCCATAAATTTTTGACTTTATTATTGAATTCATTGACTTTGGTTTCTAAATCAATTTCACTAGGTCCCGATGCGACATTTTTCTCGGCATCGATCAATTGTTGTTGTAATTCAGCACCTATGGATTCAAGATTTGAGGCTTCCGACATAAATTCGACTACAACACCACGCTGATCTAAAAGCGCACGAGCATAATCAACATGATCATTTAATTTTTTAACATTTGATTCGAGGAGAGTTTGACGTTTTTCGATATCAACACGACGATCTTCTTTATATGTTAATTTATCGCTGGCCAGAATAAATTGATCGTAATTGGTTTTATTTTCGGCAATTTCATTTGATAGATGTGAATCAACTTTTTCCTTGATTCCTTTAAATTCAACATCTAGTGGTTCGATGGACGATTTATCCTCGGGGGTATCAACTCTCCAGGCTGCTTTTGATGATGTGAAATCCTTGGTTTCATTGATTGCATTATTGATCCAATCCAAAGATTTCTGATGTGTATTTTCCCAATTGATACGTTTATCAACGGCATCTAATTCATTCGCTTCAATTTGAATTAAATTCTTTAGCGTTTCAAGATCGTTTTCAAGTTTCTTTAAACTAGTAGTTAATGGATCTGTATCAATATTTTTTGCCTTAGCGTCCTTGATATCTTCAAGTAGATTTTGAATCTTCGCACGTAGAGTGTTAACGTCTTCAGCTTCGAAATTCTGTACTTTGGCGAAAAGCTCTTTATTCTCTTGCATTAAATTCTCTACTTCTGTATTCATCATGGATAAGTTATCAGCGAATACATCGACGCGTCTCGCTTCAACGATTGGAATTTTTTCATTAATCCAATCATTCAATTCCTTTACTTTATCCTCGCATGCTTTAACGCTACGATAGAGGGCAATTGAACGTTGAAAATCTAAGAGTAATTCTTGTAAATTATTGAAAAGTTTCTGAAGCAAGTCATTCTTTTTCTCGATTGCATCTTTAACACTCTTGTTGAATTTAACATCATCTGCATTTTTTAACGCGTTATCAACATTGACATCATTGACAATTTTGTTATCATCTTTATTACGTGATGGATACGGAACGATTTCTGCGAGTTCACGCCAAGCTTTATCAATTTTCTCTTTGAATAAAGTAATACGTTCAATGAAATTCGTATCGTCATCTTTTCCTTCGGATAAAACTGTTGAGAGTGCTTGTGTTAGATCAGATTTAATTTTTTCACCATACGAGTCGGCTTCATTCGCTTCATTCATGTAATCGACTACACTCTTCTTTTGTTCAATGACCTTATGCGTGTAATCGGATAAATCTTTTACTGACAAAAGGTTATCGTTAAGCTTCTTTTGCCTGGAGTGAATATGTTCAGGTGCAGTCTCGATGTTTGGTAATATATTGAATATATCGCAGAGATCAGTGAATGCAGTTTGAGTGTTTTTCAAAGAATTTTCTTCAAAATTTGAAATCTCTTCTTTTATGTTTTTTAAAGATTCAAAGGTGGTCTCGATTTCATTGTTATTGATATTATTATTGTTGTCGTTGACTTTGTTCTTTTTATTTTCATTATCCTTCCATCGAGCTTGATCAACAAGAAATCGGTTTGTTTTTGACATTGTCGAATTAATCCAATCATTAGCATCGGAATATTGATCTTCCCATTGAACACGCTTATCGAGAACATAAAGTTCTTTTCCATGCGAATCGACCTTCGCGTCGAGATCTACTGATTTGTTGTCGAGACCCGACACTATTGAATCTAATTCATCGGTGTTTACGCATTTAGTGCCGATAGATTTCACCTCGGAAATTAGCGCGGAAATTTTCTCGTAAAGTGGTTTCAAATCTTGTTCTTTGAAATTTTCAATGTCAATGACAAGTTGATTATTATCGGTGAGAAAAGTTTCAACGTCTTGTTTATTGTATTTGCATTTTTCGACGAATACATCAACTTTACGCTTTTTTAATAGTGAATTTTGTTGGTCGATCCATTTATCTAGCCGCTTAGCTGCTTCTTTATACTCTTCAGCTAATGTAACGAGACGTAAAGCACGTTCATATGCACGTAATGCTTCAACTATTTTATCATATAGTTCTCGCATTTTTCGATAGTATTGATCGACACCTTCACGTACTCGTACATTTTCCGCTTGATCATGCCGAGGATCATCTGGATAAACAACTCTTGATCCTTTACTTAACCATGCGCTTTCAACACGATCATTGATTTCTTGTACGCGGGAATTGAATTTTTGCTGAATTTTACCACCACGAGGATTTGATTCTTCTTTAATTAAATCTTGCAATAGGGCAAGGCCATCTTTGTGAATTAAATTTGCTGAGAGAACGTAATCCAATACGTCTTTACGCTGTACAATTACTCGTTTTGAGAAGCCGAAATAGTCTTCTAAATCTTGGAGATCTCTTTCTTCGAGATTTTCCTGTTTCGTCATTAAATGATCGGGAACTTCAACGTAGGAAGTATCGACGAACTCATCGAATAATTCAGTGGTAGGTGGAATGGAAACATTTTTGTAGTCGCTCATTCTATCCTTTATATTTTCTGCTTCGGTATTAACTTCGCTTTGTTCTAGTTGTTGCGCAGGTTGTAGCCAGCCATCTTCAGTTTGACTGATCGGAGGTTTCCATCTGGCATGATTGATGGTGAAATCCTTAATTTCTGAGATCAAAGAATGCCAAACATTCATTGCCCTATCAAATTCACGTTCCCATTGAACTCTTAATGATAGCAATGTTAGTTCATTTTCACGTTTTTTAAGCGTGTTGAGTAGCTGATCTAGAATTGTTAATGTTTGTAGGGTAATTGCAATGGTCGTTGTATCCGCGGGAGACATTGCTTTATTCGCCTCTTCCTGGGTTCCCATTATTTCTTTTACATGGGCCCGTAAACGGGCCATATCACCAGCATCAAATTTCTCGACTTCTTTTTCCAATTCTTCAAAGTCTTTTTGCCAGTCATCAACCTTTTCCTGGGTAACAAGAGTTGAAATGTTACTCGTCTGAAATACATCAACCTTTTCGACATTTTCCAAGATTTCGATTCTTTTCTCGATCCAGATACGAATACGCTCGGCTTCTCTAAACCAGATTCGCACTTCTTCAATCCAATCCTCCACAATTTTATAGAATTCTTTGTATTCTTTATATTTAAGCAAATAACTTTGATCATGCGCATCAGGTGATAATAAATCTTTATACAAATGATCAAGTTCTTTTAATAAGCGTTTAGCTTCCACCATATATTCATCAAGTTCTTGTATTGATGAATCAGTTGTCGTTTCTCCTCTACTCATTTTCGCTTTTACAGCATCGAGTTGATCACGAATTTTTTCTATCCCCTTAGCATATTCACGTCCTTTTTTGATAACAGCAATATCGTTGTTACGTTCTTTCATTAATCTCTTAACTTCAATAAAAGTAGTTTCTAATTCATTAATTCGACCAGTAGCCTCTTGTCCTCTTATGCGTTTCGCGCGTTCACTTGTCAACCAAAATTCCACCCAAAGACTTCGTTCGAATGATAGCAAGTCCGATTCGATTGAGCCGTAACTTTCCGTTAAATCTTCGATATGATCGTCACTACACGTTAGACCGTGTACACGTTCAGGTTCTTCACTTTCGGATTCCGAATCGATCATGTAAGTCGGAGGGGATATGAGCTTTGCTTGGAAATTATCTAATCTCTTACTGATATCAATCGATAGACGATCGAATTCTGATGCAGATGATGTTGGTGAACTTGGACTTGATGGACTTAAATAGGCGGCCATTTGAAGTCGATTTTCTGATAATGCAATTTTGATATTTCGGATTGTATCTAATAATTTGGTGTGTTTTTGTCTCAGAGCTTTTGATAACGCCGTATCTTCATTATCGTTTTTAGGCAGTTGTTGCTGAAAATCAATAATTTCCTGTTCAACCTTATTGACATCATCGACAACTAAATCAGCATCATTATGTTCAATGATCATTTTACGGATACTTTGCATATTAGTACGCATTGATTGGATTGATTCCAGATGATTGAGTAAGATTCTATAGTTTTCGGTGGTGGTTTGCTCTAAAAGGAGTGTAATAAAATCCGTTAATTTATTAAATTTTTGATCCAAAGTCTTATGTTGCTTTGCCATTAATTGTACGACAATTTGATCTTCTTGATCATCGAAATCTTTAATCCCATCTTTGAAATCTTTAGCTTTTAGGATGAGATGCTCGATTTTCTCTTGATAGAATTGCTTAGCATCTTCGGCAATATTTTCAATCATGTTTCTTCTTGCCTCTACTAAAGATTCTAGATTATTCTCTTCTTCTTCCCACTCATACTTGTTAACGAAATCCGGGACTTCTAATTGTTTGGCTCGATTTAGTGTTTCTGAAATCCATTTATCGGCTTCATTGCCACCATCGAACCATCTTCCAATACGACGATCATGAGCAAGAATTTCTTTGGTATCGGATATTTTCGATTTCAATGAGGGTAAAAAGTTCTCAATTATTACATCAACACGCTTTGATAGATCAGGCGGTGCTCGAAATCTTGGATGTCTATACAGTTCACCGAATTCATGTACTTTGTCAATAACTTCACGTGCTAATTCTTCGACTGCAATAATTTTCGTGTACCATTCATCTAATAATGACGATGAGAATATAATGCCAGTAACTGTTACATCACCATTATTTGATGAGATCGATGAAGATAACGAAACAGCATCAGCTTTATCAAGATTAGTAACCTCATTATTATTATTATTATTGTTGTTATTATTATTATTATTATTATTGTTAGTATGTGATTTATTACGAGATTCAAGCACACCCTCCAACATTGCTTCAACCTTTTTCACTTCAAATTCGACTTTTTCAACTTTGGTTGATAATTCAGAAACCCAATCAAATTCACGTAATTTCAGTTTACTCGCTTTAGCTATCCCAATAAATGATTGCCATAATTGTTCTAAAGATAATTCAATGTCTTTGATTGAAGGCGGTGTTGGTGTTGATGATGATGTTAATGATGATGTATTATTGTTATTCAAGAGTTCCTGACCCTGTTTTTTTAGTTGTGCTTGCTCTGAGCCACTACTTATTATTTCAGCATCTAAACGCAATAATATTTCGTCGATGGTTTTTAGAATATCGGAATCGATATGGTTTGATGTAAGAGGTGGGAAATCGGGTAATTTTGATGTTTGTTTCGCCATCAACGAAGCGAAAGATTTTATAGCTTTGTAGTATTCTCCGAGAGGCCCTCCGACCGAATAAAGCTCTAAATTTTCCATTTTGCTCATCGCTGCTTGAAATAATTTTCTGTGCTCTGCTAACTCTTCGTCCACTGATGGTTCTTGTTGTAGTGGTTCTTGTATTATATCGCCAATTTCTGGTATTTCCGGAATGTCCGGCGATTCTGAATTTCTTATTTCTTCCATTTTGGATATATTTAGATATGATAAAGTGAGTAGTTAAACTGTGGCAACTAGTGTTAGAATCACAGACTTTTATAGAGTATGGATAATAAGTAAGATATATATTTTATAAATTTCGGGATTCTAAGGACAGATGATAGAGACAAGTTGACAGACAAACAGACAGGTAGACTAACAGACAGTTAAAATAGATTCACTGACGAAAGCACGAACGAACTAACAAGATTGAGCTAAAGATCAATAGAGCAAATTTAAAGCCAAACTAATAAAAAATTGTCACTTTTTTTCAAGTGGAGGGAAAAGTTTCGACAAACCACTCTCGAAGAAATAACTAAGAGTGAAAGAAAGCTGCTTTTTTTTGGTGTTACTACAACTACTACGAAAGGTATAACGACGACTATATATCTACTACAATATACAATTACAATAACAATAACAATATATGATGATTGTAATATAATGGCAAAGCGATGAATGAGGCATAGTAATAGGCATCAAAATCAGACAAAGTAAAATAGCACTACATTCCACAATGTTTCGATATAGTAGTAATCACATATCATAATTCCTTTTAAGCTTATTTTTTTTTATTGTTTCGTTCAATCAGGTTCCGCAATCTAAACTTTTGGTTTATATCTATGCCGATTTTTAAGTTCGCCAGGGTTAACATATGTTAGAAAAATTTAAGCGGCTGAAATGATGTCATTTCTGCATTATGTGACATTTGTACTATTCATCACATTCATTGTTTAATTTTTTTGGCGAAAACCGTGGCGCCTGTACAATTTGTCTTGATTGAAATGACCACGTTTGCAAAAATTACATCTACCATGTCCAGAAGTATATGTATAGGGTATCGTGTATCTTCAATAATTGAAATTAAACGGTTGTCCACATTAATTAAGACCCTATCTAATAAATAAAAACAGAGATAATAGCATATATTTACTGAGCCAACCGAGGCTGCCCAGATATATACAAGAATACCAGCGGCCCAATTTTGACCTGAATGGATTTTAAGTTATCATCTGAAATCTCGTGGAATTGATGATTAAAAAGTAAAGTTCTTTTTCAAAAATCCTTACTTAGCTAAAAATAAAGAATCATATTGGAACTGGGTTCAATTGAACCGGTTCCAATGAATGGGTCCAAAAGATCCAATTATATTTAGACTCAAATTAAATTCCAGCAGTTCAAAAAGTTTTATATATTTTAAAGAATCCAATATCCACTTTTATTATTGTATTAATGAATATAATTATGAATAAAAAGACTAAGTGGTAAGTATCATTTCTTGTTATTTAGCAAAAATATATTTCAGCACCGTGCGCTAAAATATGTCCTTAAACAAGAAGTCAAATAAAATGTCCTTTCTGAGACTCCGATAACCTGCATTTTAAGTCCAAATGGCGCAGCTTTTATAAGTTCAAATGGTCTTTTGATAGGTCGAAGAAACTTATATTTTCACGTGGATAAACACGATGTGGGACGACATCTCTTCAAGATTATCAACATGGCTGTCTACATGAAATCCGTGATCTATTTAAATTTTAGTCATGTTTTCCTCGTCTCCTCGTGTCTTTCTTTTTTTAAAGCTCGTGGAAAATTTCTTGAAAAGTTGGCTGTTGTCATTTCTTCTGCTTTTTTTCCTAGCTTTCAGCTTTTGTGAACTATTCAAAGCAAATTATGAGAAATATTTAATACGTTTTGTAATTAGAATCGACTATCTGTTTTTGGAATTTATAAATTTACTTTACCGTAGCTCACCCTACAATTATGAATACTGGATTTATAAACCAACTTTGGGCCGATGCATTTCCGCCACAAACCATAGTTTGTATTCACATTATTAATTGACATGAAATTCTCTTTCTCGTCAGTTTCTTTTAATGCGATGATTAATTTTCTAGGTAGATTTATGTGGGAATCGCGATAAAGTCGGTGCAATTCATAATTGGCTTAAAGAAGCCTTTGCTGTAATGGGAAATAGACAGGAGTCTAATAGAAAGCTAGTATGTATTATTCATTAATCTGAAGCGATGAATATGATAACAAACGTTTGATTTTCTATTTCTAATAAGGGTGGTAGAATTTTAGTACTGAGTGGTCCGACAGGCACAGGAAAGTCAGCCGCCATTCAAGTACTTGCGAAACAGAAGAAAATATTTCTCGCCAAATATGAAAATCCGGAATTTGAAAACGAGCTTAGAACTGAAGAAGTATCCGATCTCGGAGATAAACTAGGTAAATAATGTTGAAGATCTCAAGTTTATATCATTATTAATTATGAATTTTGACTTGATTTTTAGACGACTATACGTCAGTTTTAACCACCTTTAAAAAATTTGTATATAAATGCAAACAGGATTTAAGTTTTTTAGCGCCTTCCGATTCCCAAATTCTATTATTTGAAGAATGGCCAGATCTTCTGAGTTTAGAAACAAGAAAGGAGTTTCACGATTTTTTGATCTCTGATTATTTTAATGATCTTGGTGCTATGTATCCTATGGTCTTCATATTATCTGAGTACTTTACAAGGTAAATTGTTATAATGATTTTATCTTCTATTTCGAACATTAGGAAAGTAAATTCATAGTTTTCTTATAATAACAGGTTTGACACCACAAATCTTGAAATGAGTGTTCATGATTATGATCTCTCTTTAAATGCGCTTTTGCCAGAAGAAATCCTTAGTAATCCAATAAAATTTAAAGAAATAAGGTATTTATCAGTATTATTTAAATCTCACAATAATAATATTGGACTTATATTGTTTACATTTACTAGGTTCAATAGTTTGCCAAAACCTGATATCGAACGTGGTCTGATTCGAATTTCGAAGTTAATTTCCTGTGGATATCCACAAGATTTATTTGGGATTCCGTATGAAATATTTAAGAGGATTGCTGAAATTATTGGCGAGGAAAGTAATGGTGATATAAGACGCGCAATAAATGAATTTCAATACTTATGGACTACCGAACGAAGAAAAATAGCACAAGCAATCCAAAGGGGATTAACAATTAATAAGTAAGTTTATTTGATAAAATTATAACTTTGATTATAATAATATCATGAATAAATTTTTAATGTGAAATAGTATAATGCCGGGCAATGGACCTGAAAAGTACATGAGTCTACGCAATAATTTATTTCGAATACTTTCAGGTGAACAGTTGACTGTTCCTGGACACAGGGAAGATACTAAAGTATGTTATCTTCAATCTCGCTAGTTTGGTTTATTTCATTAAATATTTATTGACAATATTTTATAATAAGTTTTTTACTGCAAATTTATCACGGGAACCAGAAATGATTATTAATTACCTTCACCTGAGCTATCCAAATTTTTTCAAGAATTTCGATGGAACACTTTCTCCTGATCATTTTTACGATGTTTATCGAATTTCAGAAAGTTTTATGCATTATTCAACATTTATGGGCTCAAAACCCTTCGAGGTACATATGTCATATAATCAAAAAAAAAAACAACTACATAACAATAAAATTCACCTGGGTTACATTTTTTAATTATAGCGAAAAAATGAGATTGGTCCAACAGCTATCGACATGGTCCTACGAACATTCTTGAACCGTCATTCTTTGCCTCTTCCTGATACATCTGATAAGAAGATAACATTCAAACTTCCTAATCAAGATATTGAGTTCAGGCAAGTCATGTCAAGAAAAATGCAACAGCCTAATATAAAATCAACGAGAATTGGCGGGACGAAAAGAAAATCCTATAGTTGAGTTCATTTATAACGAGAAAACTTTATATAACATCAGTGTGTAAGCTCGAGATTTTATAATGATTGACGCATAATATTAGTTGCTACATTCTATATTTGCGAAAAACTATTCGATATCGATATTGTTAATGAATTTAAAATAATAAAAAAAAACTTCAAGTGTTGGTTAGACCTATCATAACATATTAACGTTAACTATTGACGGAAAGAATGAAAAACTGATGAATCAAAAGTAAGTAACGCGACTGCAGTAACTTTTGAGATTTTCGATAAAATATAATTTTCGTTATCCCTTGTATTTATATCTATAATATGATGCGAAATAAAGTAATATTTTGAAAAGTTCATACATTTAATGCTTTTCACTTTTTAGCTATAATGAGAGATTAATTGTAATATGAACCATTAATTGTAGTATGAACCATTTTAAGGAAGAACGAGAACATTCAAAACAATCGACTCAGTATCTCGCGCGCTTAATGCGAATTTTCTTAAATTCCAGGGCTCGATTTACCGATCAATCGGTAATCAAATTCCAAGATATCGCTAAATTGTTAAATCGAGAGAATACTAATAGACATCGCTAAATTGAGCGCAATTTAATATACAGTCAAACCTCGATATAACGGACCTTGATATAACGAAGCATTAATAAAACCTGGATAAACCGAAGTTGGTTCCAGAAACGGTTATAGTAAATCCACCTCGATAAACCGAATTTTTATATCGAGGTTTGACTGTAGTGATCTGGAAACAAGAATCGTTAACTCGTGATTTCATTAAATCGCATATATTATGTTTTTAAGCAAATTGACAATATTTTCAATTCTTTTCATTCAGTGAAAAAATTTCTTTCGGGGATTTCGACGGCCCTCGAAAAACAGTGATCAATAAATACGCATATCGACATGTTTTTAAGGATTGAGACGCGTGTTTTGGTGGTTATAATTTCGTGCAATAATTGAATTCTTTGGTTTCTAGAAAACTACATAATTATACTATCGTCTTTCGATACAAAACAGAATCGGTTAAACTTTGCATAATAACAATTTTACGAATTAACTAATATTAGACGAATACCCGATCGCTTAATACCCGGCAATACGAAAATTGTTTTACTCGAATAACGAAATAAGAATTGCCAAAGAATTTCGATCTTACCTTTTAATAGTCTTTCTTCAGGGTAAAGCTTGCTTGCTTTTCTTGAGGTTATACTGGAAAACAGGGATTAAAGTTAAATGCAAAGAAATCACAGAAATCGAGGGATACGTGTCAAATCCAAAAGTTTTCGCTCCTTTTTCATAGAATGAATCTCGATAAATTCAGGTCCAAATTATCGAAATTTCCGAAATGAGCTATTTTATCATCTGTGTATCATCTTTTCCCTGAGATTTCCCTTAAGATTCGATTTTAGGTGGATTCTCAAGCAAGAAAAAATTTTTTCTTTATACGCAAAATATAAGAAATACATTGATTGATTAATTCTTCTTAATTATTTTTAATTATAACCATTATTATCATTATCAATTAGATTTAGTAGGCAATTGTAGTAATAATTCTAGCAACAATCTGTTTCTTGTTCGGAAAAACAGCCGGTCACGCCCAAGTTCCTTTAATTTTGAAAAAAACTGCTCACTTTATTTTCATAATAATAATATTATACTATTACAACACGTCTACAGACAAAAGACAAAAAAGAGACATACATAGGTAGAGATACGCACACAATACAATTTGAGACTTCTGTGTGTCGAAGTCAATTATATATCATGACACCTTTTTATTACTATTAGTTACCCAATAGTAACAAAAAGATATTAAATTATCGACACTTTGACAAATATTCGTATTGAGCATGCCTCCGGTATTGCAAACGCATAAGAACCGTCAAATTAGGCGTATTGATCCGGTCAAGGCTATAAATAATAACAGCAGTAATAATAGTAACCAGCAACAGCAGTCTATTCAAAGTTTGCACGAGAACACCAGCAACCAGAACCACCAGCAACAGCAACAACTATCTGTTTCGTCAAATAATAATAGTAGTAGTAGTAATAGTAGTAGTAGTAGTAGTAATAGTAATAATAATAGTAATAATAATAATAATAATAATAATAACTATAGTCAGAATACACGAGTTTTATTATCTACTGCACCAGCGATACTCGAGTCAACAAATACCACCAACCCAAGTCAAACACCACCACAACTCTTTGAATATTCAGTTATGAATAATATTAACGCTGATAATAATAATGATAACGAATATATGCATACTTCGCCGTCTATACCTTCCTATTCAAATCAACCAATAGCCTCTTCTTGGAATACTGTTACCACAGATACCCAGGATATTATTATTCAAGGACAGCAAACAAGTATTGAAGAACAGCAAAAGCAACTTTTACCTAGTTCTCCTTTTTTTGAATCTTCACCTTTAATACCAAACGAAATGGAGATTGACCCCGAACTTATAAACTACGACGCTCAACAACTAGGTGGTGACCATAATAATTTCATGCAACCACAAATTAATCCTAAATTTCTTCAAGAAACCACATCAGAACACAACCTTACTCCGCCTCATTTATCCGATTCGAATATAATTTCAATTCCCTCGCCAGAAATTGATCATATGCAACAACAATGTCCGCCTTCCACTTCCCTGTCTTCTGCTTCCCCGCCTTTATTAGAGTCTGATACTTTAGATGCCGATCACGAAGATTCTTTTGTCAGAAAAACTGCGGAACAACCTCGTGCAAGATCAAAGTCTAAACCTAGCACTAGAAAGACTCCTAAACGGGCAACTACCGCACGAAAGAAGAGTGATCCTCAATCGCAGTCAAGAAAAACAACAGTCGATGACAAAAAGACTTCTAATTCTGTAGTATCAAAGAAAAGAGGATTAGAATCATCAGAGCAAGATGAAGCGGAAGAAGACACAACGACAGTGACGAGTCCTGCAAAAGTTGAAAATGAACATTCGATTCCATCATTATCTGACACCAAAAAAACGCCAATACGTAGATCTACAAAGAAACAAAGAAACAATCAAACTTCCCATAGTAATAGCTCGAGAACCACTAATTCACCTATTAATTCAAAAGACAGCGATGCAACGATAACTCCTTCTTTTGATAAATATTCTCCGGCTTCAACTTCATTAACGTCGCATTCCAAAACAAAATCCCCTGAAAAATCTCCATTATCAAAGAATGCCTTATCTCAACCACCTCCTTTAATCACACAGCCCACGACAATTATTACCCCTGAGCAAGATCTACGTGCTTATCTGTCATCAATACCTCTTCCACCGAGAGCAGTCACTCACCTGGAAATGTTACGTATCGGGACATTCCTATTTGATCAACTTTTATCACGTGCATTTTCTCGTCCATTTGTTAATCCGGAGGCAGAAGACGCATTGGTCTATCGAAGTATGATAAAAGATCTTATGGATCTGACAACGGCTGAACAAAAACTATGGGCTCGAAAATACGCAACTCCAAATGAACTATACGTGGATATTTGTCAGATAATGTTTAATGCTTATGCATTTCATCGTGAAAAAGATGTTATCTATGAGGAGGCTAAACAGATGGCTATCAGTTTTAAACAATTAGTTTCAAGAATAAGGTATTAATTATATTGGGAAAATTTGCATTTATTTAAGATGCATAAAATATTCATTAACATTATTTTCTTAGTAATTATTTGTTTGGCTGTGCAACTCGCTCTGATCCAATAGTCCCAGATCAAGTTCGCTTGCCACACGAGGATTTCAAATTATCCAAAGTGAAAGCACATACTGGAAGGTAATTAAATCAAATCGATTTTCAGTATTTTATATCGATGATTTTAATCGTTTATATATAATTTTTATTTAATATCGAATTATAATTTCTCTAGTCGTCTTTATATTATGCCAATGATGACTTATGAAGAGAACAAAAAAGCAAGTCATGGATTAACTCAAGCAGCCGCTGAAAGATTCGATCCTTTAAGCAGACCACTTATGGAACTCTTTAACGCTAAAAAATTACCTCCAATGAGATTTGAGCCATCTCAACAAACCCGGAATTTCGCTAGAATGTATGTTTCAAGTGGCCGCACAGCTATCGAAAGATGTCGAGATGATCCTGATTCACTGCTAATAATCTTGTCCTCGGTTGTTTGGCATAAACCAACAAATGGTGTACGTTGTAAAGCTCTGATAGCAAAACCGTTTGGACGACGACATGATTTGGATACTTTAGACTTTCCTGAGCTTGCTGATGCTAGATCTTGGATACGAGTCACTATTTTAGATCGAACAGAAATCGATTCAACAATGTCATCAAAATTTTATCACACTTGTCTAAGGACACCATATAGTGTCTCTTTATACGATAAGAAATTTGTCTCGGCTGAACGCCACGAAGATTTTATTAATAGTCTTAATCTACCCCGATACAATCCTTCATCGAATGGACCAAACAATATCTGGCAAAATTTATGTCTTGGTATGTAATCGACATTTAAATATTAGCTTCTAAATCCGAAACTTATCAGCAGTTCCTTTACTCGGGAACCCATATGAATTCCCACCGATACTATCTAGCTTACGTGCACGTGACTCACTCCTGCAACTACAACCATTCTGTTTGAATTATTTTAATAATTAAATTATTCTGCATTTTTACTGATATATAGAAGCGGAAGCTCATGATGTCCCATTTGAAAGCATGGCATTAATTGGAGACTCGATAAATATAGAGGCAGAAGGTTTTTTCAAGCGCGTATTTCATATTCAAGACGATTCTAGCATTGTAATTCAAAATTTCAAAGAAATCAACGAAAATACACTAAGCACAAGAATTGTTGAGACTGTGTGTTGTCTGTAAGTTCTCTAATATCATGTGCAATCAATTAAATCTTTCTAAAATATTTTATAATTATTTTTTCATAGTAAAACCAAAGGTCTAGAGAATACGGGTCAAATCATATCAATTTATAAAGGTGCCGAAGAAGAATTGGTAGGAATATCGATGAAAAGGTTTGTTATCAAAATTATTTTGTTACTTTATCTCAAACAATAAGTTTAATTCTTTGGAATACGATATAAATTTATTTAATCTTTTTTATTTATTTTAGATATGAACAGACTTTAAAGGAATACGCATTTAATGCCCGTCGTCTTTTAACGCCTGATCAAAAATACAAATTGATTCTTGATATGGTCAACGGAATAAAATCTATCCACAGTGCTGGTTTCGCTCATCGAGATCTTAGTGAAGTTAACATGATGGTCACTGAACATTCCGATGAAAGATTAAGCGATGGAAGTGTAAAACCCGAATTAGTAATCATTGATTTTGGAAAAGCTGTATTTGTACGAGTTCAGGATGTACGACAATGGGTAATTGGCGAAGTTTCTGATGAAACAATCGATCTTTTACCAAGAATTCAAACTGTACCAGATCATGGATACAAATTATACAGGTAATATATATATTCAATTCGTACTTATTCTTACAATATGTAGTTATTAATTTCGTAATGCATCTTGTAAAAAAACCTCATTAGATCGATTGCTACATTACCTCGTGCCAAGAATGACAGCGAATTACTTCCGCAGCCAATAGATCCTCTCGCCGAGGACGTATATTCTTTGGGAATTTTAATTTGGAGGATATTCTCAGGCCAAGCGCCTTGGTCCGGTATTCTCGATACAGACTTGAAAGAACTACGGTCGATAGTTTCTGATTCCACTAAAATCTTATTTCACATTGATCGGTCAGTCCCAGGCAACATGTCACGACAACTACTATTAAGATGCATAACGGTAGATCCTCAATCGAGAAATACTAGTGAAGAACTGCATGACTTTCTAACAAGGAAGGATGTGAAAGAACAATTATTAGCCGAATGGGCAATGCTTGGTGGTCGTGTAAAGAAAGAGAAAAAATATTAAATGACCACCGATGGTGATCAATTAATTTATTATCAATTAATTAATTTAATTAATTAATTAGTTAGTTAATTAATTAATTAATTAATTAATTATTATCTATTGTAATTTTTTCTGACTTTTATTGTCAGAGTTGTAAATTTAATTCTTTTTTTTGTTTGCTAGAAAGCTTAACTTTTGGCTTGTGCATGAAATTAATTATTTGTATATTTGAATTATTTGATTAATTATCATAAATTATCATAAATTGGACACAAAAATACCAATTATTGTTTATTTAAAACAATTAATTCGTGATTACTATTAATATATGGTGAAAAACATTCATATTTGGTCGTAATGCTTCGATTCAACATTATACAAGGCTTCGATGACGATTTTAGCATTTCAATTTTAATTGATTGAATCACATCTATTTTTTTATCGTTATTATTGCAAACGTTTCATTTGTGAAATTAATTTAATATTTTTAGTTATTAAAATTTTTATTATAATATCCATAATTAAGAGAATCTAGTTTGTTTTTTTATGTTTGTTCTAGTAGTTTCCAAGTTGCTTAAATTTTTTCGGTAAATTAGTAGAAGAATCAAGTGAGGAAGAGTTTAAATGAAAGAGCAAAGATTGAACTATAATTTGAAAATTTTGGCCAAAATTGTGCAGATCATGAAATCATTTGGCCAGAATTATCAACAATTTCTTATAGTAAAAGAGCAATATTTTTGCATAAAATATGTAACTTAAATTAATTTTGCAATAATGTTTATATTGCTAAATACTATATAAACTTAGTAGTATAATTGTTATTTATAGTTTATTATAATAGATATTGTAATACTTGTTAAATTTTCAATGACCAACAAAACGAACATACGTTACCTACCTTTAGATAACTTAGTAAACTCTCCCAACTTAAAGTTATTTAATACGTCAACTCTCCCACCTGACTCTATCACGTGTACTCTCGTGACAGAACCCAAAGTCATATTAAAACGGTAACAATGTGTTCTTCAAATATATACAATCAAATCTCTTTATAATCACTATTTTTGAAAAAGTTACTTAATGACTGGAAAAGTCAACTTGAATAATTATAGAAAAGTGTAACTATAAAGGGTTTTGATTATATTATAATTCAATATTTTCTATTGTTTTATTGTATATAAAATAATACAAAGAAAGCTTTCTAAATACATTTCTTTTGAAACATTGTAAGTTTATTTATTCTGAATGATATATGAGCTATAATAAAATAAATTGCTTGATAAAGTTGTTTTTAAAATGTTAAAATATATTAAATTAAAAAAATCTAATTTAAATTATAATGAATTTTCTAATATTACCAAAGTTAAAAACTAGAACATTTTTCTTTATTACTTGATAAAACTTTTTTTTTAAAATTTTGCAATGCTTTTTATATAATTTAGAGACAAACCAACGAAATTTAATATTTGGATTTCTTTAAAAAGTATGTTTATCTTTATTACCACGTTTCTTTTTTAATGATGCTGCATATTTTTTGTAATGTGGCGCAGCAAGAACAACTTGTTGACATAACCATGTGACTATATTTTTGTTACCAGATTCACAATAAATAATTCTAAAAATGTATACTTCAAAACGTCAACAAAAAATTGCAGAAAGAAAAAAATCTGCACATAAATCAAAACTAACATCAACAGGATCTTATTCGACACAAACAGCTTTTAGAGATGCGGAAAGAAATTTCAAATCGAGATTACCAGAACCTGATTATAGTCGTGTTATTGATTTTGATCAAATTGAGAATATCAATAGTGATGGGTATGATGAATTTATTAAAGTGGAGTTGGACTGCGATTTAGGAGAAAAATGCCATGAAATTTTTGAAGATCTCAGTACAGATCAGGTTAAAATAAATCGAAGGTTTGGTTATATGTTGAAAAATATTCCCGGTGAGAAAATATATTGCCATAGTCAATATCATTATAATTATATAATTAACATTATTCAATATTATTAAGGATTTATATTTATTCGTAATCCGTTCACACCAAACTCACAACGACAATTGGTTAAAAGATGTGTACGAGATTTTGCATGTTATCCTAATATCAATAATCTTGATACACATTATGTATTACCAAAGGAGGGTTTATGGCGTGTACATGAAAAAGTTATAAAAGGAGAATTGACGAAAGATGATCCTGAATTTTATGCACCTTTGAAAGTTACCAAAGACCAAACAACGAATAATAATTATAATGACGAAGGTAAATTAATTAATCGATGAATAATATAATAAATGCTCATTGTCTTTTATTCATCCTAAATTAATTTTAATGTGACAGAAGTTTCTAAAGATTCGTTGAATGGATTATATCGTGAGGATGATAAGGATGATAAAAAATCGAATTCTGCTACAAATGTCGCTGATTCAAAAACTGATCCATTACCATCCGCCACTGTCCCAATTCTTCCTCCAGCACAACTTTTTCGTAAGCTTCGATGGACGACATTAGGATATCAATATCATTGGACTACTAAAACTTATCATCTTGATCGACGTTACCCATTTCCCAAAGATATCAATGACTTGACAACTGCAATTGTAAAATCAATTTATCCTCTTCAGCTAAAAGACAAAAATTTTGTGAATAATAATATAGTAGAACAATGGCGAGCTGAAGCTGGAGTAGTGAATTATTATCATTTACGGGATAATTTAATGGGACACGTTGATCGAAGCGAAATTAACATGGATGCGCCATTGGTGTCTATTAGTCTCGGACATACTTGTATATTTTTAATGGGTGGACCAACACGTGATACACCTCCGACGTCTATGTATTTAAAGAGCGGTGATATTATAGTAATGTGTTCTCCTTGTCGGAGTTGGTTCCATGGTTAGTAATATTCATTAATTATATTCAATAGGGTTTATATTCAATAGGGTTTATAGACTAATATGAAATATGTTAAAAAAAATTAGGTGTCCCAAGAATAATAGACGAAACTCTACCTTCATATTTATCGCCTTATAATGGTGATGATGAAGAATGGTATAATTTTGGTGAATATATGACCGAGGCAAGAATTAATATCAATGTTAGACAAGTTTTTTAAAATCCGCGTATTTTGTGCCGGGTATTTAAATTGTAAATGCGATTATAGTAACGGTAACAGTTGTAATCTTTGATTGAAATTAAAGAAACTTTGATTTTTAAATATTACAAAATAATATATTTTCACTCGCCACATTCTTGCCTCACAAAAGAATAATAAATGACAACACTTTCAAGTATCGGAAAGAAGCGCGTTTCTTACTTTTATGATGGTAAAAAAGCAGCACAAATTAAACTTAAAGTTGATTAAAGTTTTTTATTGACACGTTCACCCTTATCTCCTCTTTCATCCTTATCTCTTCTTTCTAAAAGAGGATGTCGGAAGCTTTACTTATGGGGCAGGCATGGAAACCTTCTTTAACCTGTCATTTTAACAACTTTACATACTTGATCTATTGACTCTTTACAGTTAAACCATAGGACATCCCATGAAACCGCATAGAATGCGTATGGTTCACGATTTAGTGTTGAACTATGGATTAGTCAAAAAAATGGAAGTTATTGTATCCTTACTTTTGCAAATTTATAGTTACTGTTGCATATTAAAATAGAATATTGAGCTTTTTTAGAGCTTTTTAAAGCTCCTTGACTCTTAAACGCGTTCTTTGCATGTATTTCGCCTCTAGAGCCCCGATCGTGCTTCAACTCGACATTTGACGCGATTTCACACCGACGAATACATTGATTTTCTATACAGAGTGACTCCTGAAAATGTGGAAGAGCTTTCACAGCAACAAACAAGATGTAAGCATTGTCAACAAATTGTTCCCACATATGGATAAAATAATCCATTGCATTAATTTATCATATTAACAAGTTAATGTAGGAGAAGATTGTCCAATATTTGAAGGATTATTTGAATTCTGTTCGATATCTGCCGGAGGTTCAATAGGTAGGCTATTATTTTTGACTTTGGTATTGTCTATTAAACATTTCTGTTATCTCTGAAAATATTTGTAAACGGAAAAGGAGCCGCAAATAAACTTATAAGTGGAGAATCCGACATAGCAATAAATTGGTCAGGTGGACTTCATCATGCAAAACGATTTGAAGCTTCTGGGTTTTGTTATGTCAATGATATTGTATTAGCAATTTTAGAATTATTAAGGTTTGAATTCTAAAGTTTTTATTATTTTATTTTTCGAAATTTTCTTGATATATACTTGATATAATCCATATGATTTATAGATTTCATCAACGCGTATTATATATCGATATTGATATACATCATGGCGATGGCGTAGAAGAAGCGTTCTATACTACCGATAGAGTTCTCACGTGCTCTTTTCACAAGTTTGGTCAATTCTTCCCTGGTACAGGTGATGTTGGGGTATGTTTGCATTACTCGGAAAAATCTGACGCGCTTTTTTAGCTTACCAATTTCGATATTGATCCTTTACTAGGATACTGGTTATGGAAAGGGAAAACACTATGCAGTCAATTTTCCACTAAAAGATGGCATGGATGATTGGAGTTATCAGAATGTATTTCGACCGGTATGTTATTTATATACTAATTAATTATCAATTAAAAAACGATAATAAGTTTTAAGTCAATAAAAATTGCAGGTGGTACAACATATTATTGACTGGTACCGTCCTGGAGCCGTAGTACTACAATGTGGCGCAGATTCATTAGCAGGAGATCGTTTAGGGTGCTTTAATCTATCAATGAAAGGTCATGCTGCTTGTGTTGAATTCGTTAAAGGTTTCGATTTACCATTAATGGTTGTTGGAGGCGGTGGATATACCATAAGAAATGTCGCTCGAGTATGGACTTATGAAACTGGACTACTGTTAGGTGAACACCTATCAGAAGGTAATTGATTATTTTTATTTATTATTTTTAGTTTGTGCCGCTTATTTATCGATTCATTACGTTTACAGATTTACCATATAATAATTACTTGGAATATTATGGGCCAGAGTATAAATTGGACGTTCCCTCAAACAATATGGAGAATATGAATACCCCAGCTTATCTTAACGAAATGAAGTGAGTTTTGAATTTATTATAAACATCTTTTAATTCATATATTAATGTGTGCTATATATTTTTCTTAGAGCTAAAGTATTTGACAATTTGAGACACATACCATTTGCACCTAGTGTTCAGATGCAGGGTATCTATAAAATCTTATTTCCACTTTTTTATTGTAATATTTATATCTTTCTAATATATTCGAATTTCACTCAGAGGTTCCAAGAAATTACGCATCGGATAATGATGACTCTGATGACGAAGATCCTGATATTCGACTTTCACGTAATTCTCATTTTATTTCTTTTTCTTGCATATAATATAATGCTTATAACAACTCTAAATATCAATTTCTTCTGTTGAACAGAACGATTACGTGATTCACATATCGTTCCTGAAACTGAACTATCAGACTCCGAGGACGAGGGAAATAGACGAAATGAACAGAGTTTCATAGGTCATAGGAGTGATCATTCTAGAAAACCTCGTAATGGAACTTCGAGTTATAATATGGATACAGATTCAATGTTCTTTTAATATTTATTCACAAATAATTCTATTTATAGATACGTATATATATACGAATTTTTTGTATTATGGTTACGATTCAAAATGTTCTTCAGTTTATTGAGCTATTAAGATGACTTTAACAAAGATAACGGCCAATTAGGGTGTTCGATCGAACTATGATCAGAGTTTAGATAACATGATGATCATTAATTGCGGATTACGCGAATTAAATAAAGTCGAGAGATTGAAGTGTTTTCTTGCTATACCTAGATTTCCTTTTCTGCTTGTCTTTAAAGTCGAGAGATCGAAGTTGCTATACCTCGATTTCCTTTTCTGTTATTTTTTGGAAAATGCACGTAGCCAAGATATGCTCCGTTTTCATACGATCCGCTTGTTTTTGCCTTCATTTATCGTTTTCCATTGCAAATTCATTAAATTAGTTTTGAAATTCCCAAATTTTTACAATTTGCTATGAATTGAATTTTATTATTTCAAAATATATTTTTTATTGGATAATTATGTATTTACATCTTATTGAATAATTAGAATTATTTAATAATTTTATTAATGATTTAGCATTTATTTATAAAAAATCATATATTTTAGCTAGAAGTAAAGTAAAATTAACATTTAGCTTGATAAAGAAGATAATAGACATTTACTCATATTTTTAAAAAACAAGATTTGATAAATTTTTTTTAAATTTTTAATTTATAATATTATTTTTTGATTAGTTAAATAATACTTTATTTGTTTAATAATAAGTTAATTTTTAATAAGTTAATATTTATTATTATTAATTGTTTATAATCTTTGGTTTTTGTTGCAAAGTTATACTTATTATTATAATTTTTTTAAAATTATATTTATTATAATTAATATAATAAAAAGTTATTAATATTTTATTTGCTTATAGATTTTTATTAAGAATATTTTTTATCTTATTTTAGCTAAATATAAAAACAAATATATATTATTTATCTTTAGTATTTTAATTATAAAATTTTTAGTTATTATATTATCTTTTTTATTTAATCTGAGTTATATACTTGATAAATAAAAGTTTGCAATTTTATTAATAAAACATAATAAAAATTGAAATTTTCTCTTTATAGTGATAATGCAACAATGTTAAAATTTATTAATTAAATATAGTAAAATACAGATTTTTCTTTTTATATAAAAGTTTTTAATTTTATTAATAAATATTTTTTATTTTTATATTAAAGTAAAAATAATATTATATATTTTAATATATATTTTTTTCAGATTTTTTAGATTTAATCTAATAAA